GCTTTTGAGGAGGCGGATCGATTGGAGGAGAGCTTTAAGGATCAGGTAAAGGGATTCTTGAATGCGAGTGGAGAGATGGCGGTGGAGTTTGGGAGAGGAGTTAGGGATATCTTGCAGCAGAGCTTGGAGGGGGCTGAGGATTTCTATGTAGTGAAGAAGGTGAAGAGGCCGATTAGGGTTTTGGGGGGGAAGTTGGAGTTCTTGAACGAGTACATGCCGGAGGATCGCGATCCGGTTCACTCGTGGACGGTGGTGATCTGTGTGCTTCTGGTTGCGATTTCTGGTAAACTTCGTTCTATTTTGTTTGGATTTGATTCTTTAATTAGTGTTTAGTGTAGTGAAAGTGTGGTTTTTTTTTGTTGCTGTTTCGGGTTGATTGGTTTATTGATTGTCGATTTGTTTGGATGAGTGAAGTGTTGTGTGGATGAGGTTTCACTTGGATTGAAGATGTTTGCTTTTGTTAGTTTTAATTCGGTTATTTTCTTTACGGACTCCAAAATTTTGGGATAAAGCAGTTGTTTTGTTGTTGTCATCACCTTCACTGAGTAGTAGTGATTATAGAGGTCCTTTGTTCTGAATTGAGTATTGTAATAGTTTGATTGTAATTTTGATTGCTGTCTTGATGTGGTTCTGCTTCTCATGTTTTTAAACTCGAAATTGTCGGTCCTTTAGTGAAGCTTTTTTGTATATGGATGCTCATTAGATTGAGACCGGCCTGATTCCCAACTGGGAAACCTGACTCTACAAAATTAAAATTGCTGTAGATTGTCATTGTTGACATATCGTAAGATTTTGTTCTGGTGTTAATCTTTGTAGGTTTTGTGACTTAGATATCGCTGATCTTTTTATTATTGGATGTGTTTCATTATTTTGTCATCTCTATTTGTTTTCGATGTAGTAGTACCTGATCATTGTTTGTTTTACTTTTGGTTTATGACACTTGGCAGTTTTAATCATGTTCTACACTCAGATATTTATACTATGACCCATTCTGGTGAGATGAAACAATGAAGGTCTGAGTCATCGGACAAACAAAAATCAGTTCTTATATGAATATGACTAGCAAAAATCAGTTCTTATATGAATATTTTGGGTTTGTTCTTAGGTAATTTAGACATATATGTATCTTGATCTGTTTGTTTCCGTAAGTCCTGACTGCTTAAACCATTCAGTTTTAGTCACACTACACTTAGTAAAAATGAATTTCATATGAAACTGAATCTAGTTACATTTTTGGATTGTGTGGCCTGTCCTTTTTTTAATTTTTGACTGACCTCTGATTTCTATACATTGCCATCCAGTTTAGTTATAGAATCAATTATTTGTGTGGGCAACATCAATTTCTTGCTTTCTTGTTGGGGTCTGCGTCAATGAAAAAGGTGCTAGACAGGATAATTGGAGGTTCCATACATTGGTAGCTTCTTTTTTATTGGATAGTTGGGGTAGTTGGGGTAGTTGGGGTTTCTGATGCATATCCCTCCGCTTTCCAGTTTTGGACGCGACCAGAAATTCTGAGTGTACATATCCCTTTGTTTTCCAGTTTTGGGTGTGACTAGAAATTTCTTGGTTGCTTATTTTAGTTCTGTCATTTAAAAGGTGAAAGTGTGGTTTTACTTTTTCATTTGGATTGATACCGAATCACGAGATTTAAGAACATCATAAGATGCAGAAAATTTTCTTTGTGGGTTTCTAATGGAATGATATAACGATTTAATTGTATAAATTGTATGACGAAGTTGCTACTTAGAAGCTTACAAGTTTCACTTCGGTATGAGTCATGGTAAAGTTGTGGTTAGGTTATGGAGGGTCTTATATTTGAGTTTTGCCTATGGACTTGGTTTTTAAAGCAGTTCAAAAGTTTCCAATTGCAGTAATTACATATAATCGACTCTGATGTGTCGTTTTTTTATAACACGACAGTGTGGGTTATTGTCCTTAGTTCAAGCCCTCAATTTGAAATTTGTGTCAAAAAAAAATGAAAAAAAAAATTGTTATACAAGTGCCTATATTATTATGATGAATTTCGAGAAACCTGCAAAACTTCATATGAAGGTTTTGTTTAAAAAGATTGGATCCTTACTTAATATCTGATTTAATTGAACTAAATAAACATGCAGAAGCAGAATCCCATAAACAAATTAGCAACCTCCGAACCCATTTCACTTGACCCCAGCGCAATATGTGCAGACACATGATGTACAAATTTAATGCATTATCAACCAAAGAATAGGATTGCAGGCTCCTACTGCATAACACGTTCAAAATATCATTCCGTAGAGGAAGGCATGCATGTTTCATATAGTCTGAGAGTACAGTGTGCAAGGACACCAACACTGGACACATTACACTACCGAATTTCCTGCAGTGTGTCATATTGACTACTGAGAAGATGGCTAAGTTCCGTGGAAATAGCCATCCAAATTTTGTCTGCAGTGTGAAACATAGTTCTTTTGTTTGAGCTATTTTTATGCATATATCTATTGGCTGACAACTTTCTGATGGATAGTCTAGCTTAAGCTTACTTTTTCTCTCTCTCTTCAATCATTCCCGGGGTTTATCTAAGAATGACATGAAAATGGGACCAACAAAGGGGAATTAATGCATGCTGAAGAATAAGTGGGTTGTGCATTATACACATCTGAAAAGGTCTAATTCGATGATATGGGGATCTAAAGCAAACCACATTGAGTTATATTCTTTTATGACTGGGCTGTTTCAGGAGGTGTTTATGCTTCTTGTTTGGACTAACGTCAACAGCTGCTGCAGCAGCAACAACAACAGCAAATAAAGAAAACGAAAGTAAAGGCATGATTGTGAATTCTTTTATTGTCTTCTATTCTTATATAATATTCTATCCTCTTATAAAACTAGAAAACAAAAGTAAAGGCATGATTGTGAATTCTTTTATCGTCTTCTATTCTTATATAATATTCTATGCTCTTATAAAACTAGAAACACACACTAGAAAACGAAAGTAAAGGCATGATTGTGAATTCTTTTATCGTCTTCTATTCTTATATAATATTCTATGCTCTTACAAAACTAGAAACACACACGCACCCCTAGAAAGCATTACCTTTAAGAGTGCAGTTGGAGGAACGTGTGTATCTATAGAAATGCAGCAACATGAACCAAGATAGAAAAACATTATTCAGTTTTGAAGTGGCTGAAAGAGGTTTCTGATTTCTGTTTGTTACTATTTTGATCTACATGTCCAATATTCATGGGGAAAAGAGCATTTATGTGATTCTTATGTCGACATGTTTAAATTAGAGTAACTTAGCAGATCTTTTTCCATACGACTTTACACCTACTTACATTTTCAATGGCAAAATTGCAGTTTTAAATGTGAATAGTGGACAACAAACTCCAGTAGAATTGCCGAAAAAGCTCTACGTACACCCTCCCAGCGCCGGTCGTATTCTGCTTCCGGATGGGAGACATGTGGCATATCAGGAAAGTGGAGTATCTGCTGAAAGGGCTAGATTTTCCTTGATTTCTCCACATTCTTTTCTTTCTTCTCGATTGGCAGGTAGCATACAGTTCGTCATGATGCTTGTTTAGAAGCTTACCTAAAACCTTTAGTACTAGATCATGCCATTTGCAGAACTGATATAATTTCTCATTGTTTTTTGAACAGGAATACCTGGAATTAAAGCTTCTTTGCTGGAGGAATTTGGTGTACGTTTGGTAGCATATGATCTCCCTGGTTTTGGTGAAAGCGATCCTCATCCTGGCAGAAACCTCAATTCTTCTGCTGTTGATATGATGCATTTAGCAAACGCTGTGGGAATTATTGACAAGTTCTGGGTAGTTGGTTACTCTGGTGGCGGCAAGCATGCATGGGCTGCTGTTCGTTACATACCCGAGAGACTTGCTGGTAATTCTCCTGCACACAAACTTCAATTTCACTCCATTGGATAAAAGCGCGTATTGTCTCATTGAATGGGTCATATATTTGTTGATGCTCACAGGTTTATTAATTTTATTTCTCACTCACACGTTTACTTTAAGCAAGAGTTGCTGATATTGGATTACTATATAGATGTTAATCTAATTTTTAGTTTATTCCCTTTGTTGAAGTTCCTTTGCAATGTATTTTTTATAGAACCAAATAATCCTGGAGGCTTATACGCTGAACTTGATTCCATTCCTTAAAATAAAAGAAATGTCTATCCTGCTACTATCAGTCAAATTGCAGTAGAAGCTACTGACAAGATGGTCTCTTCCCCTTTTACAATTATGGCATCTTGGTGTTTCAAGATGACACTGTTCTCCATTTAGACATAATAGTGTGTTTCATTTTCGTGGCTAGTACATTGTCGCCTTTATTAAGGCATATATTTGATTAGTTGCAGAACATTCAGCTGCATAGCAATTTTTCCAATCTGAAAATATTTACTTTGCAGATTGCATTGTTTACTGAATCCTTGGCAATTTGTGAACTGCATCCGGAAGCAAAGCAGAAGATAAAGATGATAATGGATAATACTCAGACTAAAATGCGTATATGTTATGTTCAAATAGTGAGGAGGTTGAAGACCAAGTACTGACTTGTGGATAGAAATTTGACCCTTACGCTTCAAGTTTATCTAACTATGAAAAATATGATATTGAAGGAAACATAGACTGGGTAGTGTTGCAATATGTTACAGTCAGCAGAAAACGAGAGATTAGTTTTCATATATTGCATAATTGGTTTTACTCTCTTAGCCTGTAAAGTGTGTCAATACTTAAATTTCATCTCCATCCTTCTACATCTTTAAACATGTTATGTAATTTGGATACTGCATGTATTTTTCCACAAAGAGAGATCAATTACGGAAATCATAGGCTGGTAGGATTGAAGTCTCGTAGTTTTTTAAAAATATATTTATCATGAACACCCTGACCCAAAGATAACAGATCTATTATTCTTCTTTACTCTCCTTAAGTTTCTAATCTCATTTATTTAACTTGAGCTTTCAGGTGTAGTCATGTTTGCTCCAATGGGTAATCCATATGATTCTAGCATGACCAAGGAAGAGAGGTATAGAACCTGGGAGAAATGGACAACAAAAAGGAAACTGATGTATGTTTTAGCTCGGAGGTTCCCTTCTCTTCTTCCTTTTTTCTACCGCAGGAGCTTTTTATCAGGCGTGCAAGGTCGACTTGAAAAGTGGTTATCATTATCATTGGGGAAGAAGGTAACTAACATTTTACCAATTGCTGTGGAAACAGATTGCTAATAGCACATCCTGACATGGGAAAATATATCTTAATTCTGAAATAAACTTTCTTAGCTTATTGGTTCAGTTATTGCTGATATGATGGCATTGCTTACCATAATGTTTTACGAGTATCATATTTGTTAGAATATAAAAATATAAAAGGCTTTTTTCCTATATTAGTCCCCCAGGTCTTATCAAAATTTGAAATTAGTCTCCCATATCCTTAATTATTTTGAAATTGCTCCCACAAATCTTCACATATTGAAATTAGTCCCCCAAATCTTTTTAGTGTTTTGAAATTAGTCCCTCTAATTAGCACCAGATACTGAGATTTGGAGGCCCAATTTCAAATTATAAAAGATTTGGGGGACTAATATCAAAAATCCCCAATGTATGTAACCCTCAACCCTGCGTGAGTCGGGGTTTTAGGCTATAAACGGGCTCTCGACCTGCGGGATCATGTTAGAATATAAAAATATAACCCTCAACCCTCACCAGAACTTTGGGTTTTGGTATAGTAGTTTGGTCTGTTCACAATATTATAGAGGATATAGATTCATCGATGACAGAAGATTTTGCTTGAGGATATAGATTCATCGATGACAGAAGATTTTGCTTGTCTGGAATCTTCCATATGCAGCATATTTTACAACCCTTCAGCATATTTTACAACCCTTTCTGAATCATATGAATTTCAGAATATCATCAAAATAGGAATGGCTCCTTTAAGATGAGGTCCCATCATTATTTTTCATGCTGGTTATTAAGTAATTGAACTTGATAATTTATCACTTCTGGGCAAACATTATCAACATCAGGAGTTCGCTTATGATTAGTAATGAAAAAAAGTCAAGACCACATGATATGAGAATGACCTTCGCTTCATACAAGATCCACTTCAAATGATTTGTTTCGTCCAAAACAAGGTTTTAAATATCGGATACTGGGGAAACATCGGACGAGCAAAATTTATATCAAATTGCGGATATTGGGTGGTAAATATCGGAATGATATAAATGCTATATCAGATGATGTGCATATAATATAATGTCCTAAAATGTAATATAAACATACTTAATAAGATCTAAGCACAAAAAATGCAAATAAGATATGTTTAGGATCACTAATCAATCTTTTAAAGCAAATACTTGAGCCAAAATGCCACTTGATATATTGGGAAAATTATGACATGTTGTCCAAAAATTGTCAAAAGCGGTATATTGTTTTATATTGTTTTGCGAGAAGCCATGTAAAAGAACATACCGGCCATCATATCGGTTGATATATCGGCATGTCGGGGTTCTATCGCCAAAAGTTGTCAAAAAGTGGCAAAGGATATTTAGACCATATCCTTTTGCGGCAAGCCTTGTAAAAGGATATATCAGACAATATATCGGACACTGTCAGGAATATTTGAAACAATGGCCAAAACTTTGTTACTTCATTAAAGTTTCGTTTAGGAAGAAAGCTTGTTATTCAGATTATCATTGAGGCTGAACCGTTGGTTTATTTCTATCATGAAGTACCTAATA